TGATATTATTTTTCCTTCTGTTAATGGCTTAACCTGTAGTTGTTTAAAACTGCAAGTTTTTGTCTATTGGAAAATATTCAGAAATGTCTGGGTGGGTGCGGGTGTGTATGGTAACAATAAACTGAATAATAAATAAACTGTTTAAGATTTTATCTAACCCTGTGCTGGCAGTATTTAGTGTGTATATCTTATGATGAGGTGGGCTTCTTTATATCAGACAATGTATTATGTGTAGCCTAACATTGTTGCTCCTCAGAGAAGGCTTAATCAGCTGTGCACTTTAAATTGTTAAAGAAAAAACATGAGAAGAGGCAGGAAGTGTTCCCTCTCTTTAAACAAAAGATAACAGTGCAGACCTCTTCTGGCAATCCGATGGATGACTCTGCATTTGGTTGCCAGGAGAACGATACTTTCTGACTAATAACGTTTTGTGGTGGGGGGATTATGGTGTGAGTTTGTTTTTCATTCCAGTGAAAGGAACTTACTGACATCTTGGACAACGTCCCCAACTTTGTGGAAACAGTTTGAGGATGGACCCTTTTGTTCCAGCATGACTGAACACCAGTGGACAAAGTAAGATCCATAAAGACAGTGAGTGAGTTTGGTGTCAAAAAACTTGACTGGCCTGCACAAAGTCCTGACCTCAACCAGAGAACACTGTTAGTATGAATAAAACAGGAGACCTTCTCATGTAAACCCTACTTTGCACTTTTGGAAGAATGGTTTAAAAAAAAAAAAATCCTATAAACACACCCCTGAACCTTGGGGAAAGCCTCTCCGCGAGATCTGGAAGCTGTAAGTGGATCAACATCATATTAAACCTAAAGATGGCCGCTGAAGTTCATATGCGTGTGATGGCAGACGAACCAATGCTTTTGCCAATCCAGTGTCTACGGTGCGTACTTGGCTATATTGTTATAATGGTATAACATGTACAACACAGTCTAATGCTGTTAATTCCTAAATTCCTCCACTAGTAGCACACATACCAAAGTAGGCTTTACAGAGCTATCAGACACATCTGCTGGTTCAAGGACTGAAACAGACCCACTACATTTACATTTTTATTGCAAATAAACAACAAATGGTCATCCATGTGTCCGGGAAAGGGGCAGGAAGACGGCGCGCATGCGTTCAATAAAAGCAAGTCCCGCCCGCGCGCTCGTGTGCGTTCACGCGATGTTGAAAGGGATCGAGAGGGAGCGCACCAGTATGTCGGCAGCAAAAGTTAGAGGCTGCTAACATTAGCATTAGTAATGAAACTTAGGGTGACAATAACTGCGTTGTGAGAGTGTGTAAAGCCGTGACAGGACTTATATTAGTAAACATGGAGATTTATAGAGAAGAGGAGGGTAAGAAAGCGCTCTTTGTGTCTTTTAAAAAGTTGTTGGCTAACGTGGCTACGAAGCTAGCTCGCTTGAAGGAGTCATGTTTGTGTTGAGAGGAGCCAAAGTCTGGTTATTGAAACGACTGTATTTATATTGCTCTTTGTTCTTTTGTTTGCTTTTGCAGAGATTCCGGATCCTCATATGTTCGTAAGTACGCTCTCTTCCTTAAAGTTTACGCGCGCGTTAGCTTACGCTTTGTGGAAAAGCTCCCCGCGTGTTGGCTCTTACTTCGTGGGGGAAATTTATGGGTCTGGGGACCGGAAAGGTGTTAAGATAATCAGTGGGTTCCTCGCAGGTTTGCTGTAAAAGCAGCACAGTCTGATTTGCTGAATGGAAACATGTAAACACTGCGCCGTGTCACTTCCTGTACATATCCTGTATTCACAGAAACGCTGTACATGCACAGCTGCTTCTTACGGAAATCTAAACACAGCTTTACCAGTGAGCAGGATGTCTGTGAAATGGTTTAGAATACAGTGATATTAGTAATCAGTCTACAAGGAATTGCAAACCATGCTTTAGTTTTTTGCGTGACAGTGAGGCGGATATTTGACGTAATAATCTCGTATTGTACGTGCAAAGTGGTCTTAAGTGGACATTTCTGCTCCGAATATAATATATTGACTCCATAACAAACCTAAGCCAGTCCGTGGATTATTCTAAGGAAAAGTGCCGTCTTCGTATCTGTTGGGTTAGTGACATTTCCTCATTAAGTGGCATGTTGTTGCCCCTTTTCCTCCCACGTGTATAATCTGCCTGTGGGTTTCCTTTTTCTGCCGCGGAACTCAAGATGTACAGATTAGCACATCAAAAGTTGACTGAACAGGAAAAGCTGCTCCACAAACAACTCCAGTGGATCAGATAACTGCACAGCTGATTATGTAACGCTTGACATTTATTTTTGTGCCAGGCAAACTTTGCTCCACTGTAATTTATTGGTGCTGTTAAAGTGGAGAGAAAAGACTTTATAGCTTTGTTTAATCACACCAACCTTCTATTTGCATTTGTGCTCAACATTACAGCTCTTATAGTGATTCTTCTAGAAGTCTGACTAAAATAAACTATAGTATTCACTATGAGAATATGCTCCACATCCCCAAATTAGATGCAGGCTGCTTTGTTGTTGCATTTACGTGTATTTATTATAGTGCAAGACCAGAGAAAGGGGCTTGCCTGCTGATACAGTGACTCAGAGCTTCTGGATAAAGGAAAGTGAAACTCTTGGACGTGGTGCTTTTCAGTGCCAGCATTCTTACTGGAGCTCAGAGGCATGCTGAGTACTGGCAGTGGTGCAGTTTTTCAGCAGCTGTGGGAATACTCCACACTTATCATACTGGGATCCAGATGTAGGTGGAATGTGGGTAAGAATTCAAGGCTGGAGAGGCTGCGAGCGAGGGCTGTACGTGACTGTTTGTGAATACTTTTCAAATCTCTTTGTCTCTCTCTCCCTCCTGTTTAGAGAACTGTTTTAGGGATGTTTGAAGGACGTCCTCATATGCAAAGAATAATAAGATGTGGCCTTCTTGGTAAGGAGATATTGTTCAACATGTCTGCTGTGCACATTTGAGTGTGTCGGTCTTTATTTGTGTGACTGTATGAAACTTGTTATTGTTCCTACAGGTGTTGACTACGATGACGATCTAGACGACCCAGGCAATGATGATTATGTTAGTTGGAGTCATGATTTCCATAGATACCCTGCAAACCGCCTGAGGTCATCCAGCGCTGTATATCAGCCTGTATACTCTTCAGCCCGTAATTCTTCTTGCCCGTCCCCTGTAAGATTTCAGACAAAGGAGCGCGTAAGTGTTTAGTTTTACCGTTTTCTTTTTGATGTGAAGTTGTGCTGCAGACTCTAAATGATTCAAATCTGCTTCTTTAGGATGCTGAGAGAAAAGCCAGATTATTAGAAGAATCTAAAAAAATGAAAGACAAGGCTGAGAAGAAGCGGCTTAAGAAACGGGTAAATCCTGCTTTCTTGAATATGAAGTGATTGGTAATAAATGTCAGCTCGTGTGAGTAATGTTCACTGCGTGTGTTTGTTGATCAGAAACAGAAGGAAAGGAAACGTCTCGAGAAGCTGGAGAAGGACAAGCTGAACCCTGAAAAAAACGAGGAGGTGATGATTGTTTTATGCAACACGTTTTGAAAAAAGAAACAGTCCTCTTATTTCAACTTGTCTTCTGTGCTTTACAGGGAAAAGATGATGCAGAGGAGGGTAAAGCCGTTAATGATGAACACAAAGCCAATAACAATACTAGTGTTAAACCGCAGGCCTCAGCCAAAGATACAGACAGCAGTGACAGTAGCGATGTTTCCAGTGATGAAGACTGCAACTCCAAGAACGACTCAGGCGACTCAGAGGTAGCACTTTTAAGAGTGGATATCATTCTCAAAATGAACCACTGATTGATGCCTGATGGTGTAAAATGCCATTAACCTGATACTGTTCTTTTAATCCAATTTACTGAATACAGGAAAATATGATCGCACAAGATTTGGCTGTATATTATGTCACTTTCTGTTCATCAATTACATTTTTTTCTCATCTCTTTTTAAGGAACTTGATATGACGAGTAGTTTTGTAAGAAAAGCTGCTCTTATAGCCATGCATAAACTGGAGCAGAAGCCTAAACTGGAGAAGAAGGAGAAAAAGAAGATGCCAGAAAAAGAAGAATACAAAACAGGCCCTGAAAAATCACATGAA